AAACTTGCAGCTCACGCTGGAAGTCAAAGTAGCACGCCACAGCCCGACAGCGAGAATAGAGACATCGAAGCCATGACAAATGATCGATCTTCAGATATCAGTAGGAAATTGGCTGCCGCTCTGGCTTCGCAACGAGATCTCAAGAACAAGGTGGATAGTCTTACCGCCGAGCTCGAAGCTGAAAAACGTGGAAGACAACTCGCCGAGGATACTGCCAATATCACACAATCACGAATGGCTGAACTACAAACATATAAACAACAGAATTCTTCCGAGGTTGAACTTCTCAAAGCAGAGTTGCACGAATTAGAAGTTGCAGCCAGGGAAGAGGCGATTGTTTGTCAAGAAGCCGTCGCAGCCGCACAACTTATTCAAGCTGAAAAGGATGAGTTAGAAGCACGACACAAAGAAATATTGGGCACTGCGCAGGATCACAGCGAGACATTTGAATCGCTCCGAGAAGCCATAACGTCGTCCGCCGATATGAAGAACCTATTGGAACGAAAACTTGATGAGGAACGTGCTTTACGCGAAACGGTCGAAGAAAAACTCTCTGCGCTGCGAGCTGAGCACGAAAATCGTACTTCTGAGCTAGAGTCTGTTACCCGTCGTCTGAGAGATGCCGAAGAAATTGCTGAACAACATGCAATTGAAGCTCGAACTCACAAAGAAGCAGTACTATCTGGCCTCGATAAAGTCGCGAGTAGTAAAGATTTTGCGCCAAAGGATTCTGCCAGAGATGACCGCGCTTCAGCCCTCGAGGCACAAGTCCAAGCGTCTAATGCCTTGGTTCGTAAATATCAAGCTGCAGCGAACACCGCTTCAGACAAGCTTCGAAGTGCCGAAGAACGCATTGCTGGGTTGGAGGCTTATCAAGAGCAGGCAAGTCGGGAAGGCATGTCTATTCGAAAGCAGCTTCAAGCGTATATGCGTGAAACACAATCACTCCAAGCTGCTAACTCTGATATGAAACATCAGCTTGCTAACCAACAGTTGGAGACGAATGCAGTCAACGTACAACACAACACTTTGAAGGATATTCTTGGTGAGCGTGGTATCAGTCCTGTAGGTGCATCAAGAACTCGAGGATTGTCTAGTCCTCAATCGGGTTCCAATACACCAGACATGGCACGTCTCCGTGAACTGGAACAACAACTGGCAGCTAGTATGCATTTACACCAAGAAACCAAGGAAGCCTTTGAGAGCCGAGAGCAAGAAGCCGAGAGTGCTTATCGCGAGAAGTTGAGTCAATTAGAGAATGACTATCAATCTGCCGTCCACTACGTAAAGGGTACCGAAAAAATGCTCAAACGAATGAAGGACGAATTGTCGAGATACAAGCAAGATAATACACGATTGAAGGAACAGCTCGCGGCTGCCGAGGAACGATCTACAGCAACAAAATCGCCTACGAACTGGGAGAGTGAACGTGCTGGTTTGGTTGGTCAAATTGAGACACTCCAGTCTGAGATTAATACATCTACTGCGCAAATGGAAAAGCAATTGACGGATGTTCAAAAGGAATTGCAAGACACTCAAACTAGCAACTCTGAACTGAGGGAGAAGTATGAAGCCTTAGAAAAGCAATTAGCTTCTAGCAGTGAACAAGCACGTCATGAACTTGAGCAATTGCAAGAAGAAAATGCTCAGTTAGAAAAGCGTGCTCAAGACGCTGAGGAAAAGGTTTCATTGCTACTTGATCAAGTTGAGTCATCGGTTGATAATTACCGTCGTCAATCACGTAATCTCGATAGTATGGTTGGAGCGACAGCTCCTTCTACAAACCAACGAAACTCAATTGGTCACGAATCGGTTTCTGAATCCTCGATGTATGGTGGTGCGAATGACAACCGCAATAGCATGGCCTTGGATAGTCTTGCCTCGGAATTAGAAACGCTCCGAACGCAATGGGAAACGACAAACAAGAACTATAGACTTAGTGGCTTCGGTGATTTCGAGGAACGACCTACTACTAGCAAATCCGACGCCGACACTGGTCCTCAATTAAGTGGTAGTCTTGCAGATTGGAGAAAACGATTAGATGCCGAAGAGCAAGAAGCTAAATCAAGAAAGGGAAGCTTGACTGGTTCGGAAAGAATTATGAGTCCTACTGGCGGTAGAAATGATTCTAATGCCGGTGTATCAGCTTCGAATTAAGTCAACCCACTTTGACTTGGTAGTAATAACATTGGGGGTTGGGATTTCGGATAAAGATATTTGTTTAATTGTTTTAGATTGATTGCTTCCTTACATTAGGGAAGGGATTTTGAGCTGGGTGTCGAATTATATACATACATGGACAGAATTCGGGATGGCCACCACATTTTAATGAATTTATGAGGATAGGGGATAAGATAAAGATACCGAATGGAGAGGAAGATATTAAAGCAAATTGTGTGTTCTGGTGGTCCGGCTACCTTCTTTCTTCGTTCCTCTTTATTACTGTTTATTTGGCAATTTATACACTGTTGCTTCTTGCATATAATTCATTTGCTTGCTTGGTGGGGTTGTTTTGATGGACATGGAGGAAGGGTGAAGGAAAAATATCACATTTGCATTGCTTTCTGACTTTTTATGTGTTTTGTACCTTTTTGTTTCCTCTTCTGCTTCTTCTCTTTCTAATGGCGTTGCGGTGCATTGTCTCACGAGTCAAATTCTTTATCATATGATGGGACTTTGTTGGATTGCACATGGCATTGCACTGCATGATTTTTTCTTAAGCGAGTTGGTAGGATCCTTTAGATCTCGTCGGAGAAGATCTGATGAGTGATGGAAATGTTGTGAAGGTAGTCATGCATTTGGTTGAGGGTAGGGAGACGAGAGGTGCATTTTCTTTGAGAAAAAAGGCTTGTCTGGGATTGAGTTGGTTGGTGTGGTTAATATGGGGGGTGACAATAGGAGTAGTTTATGGACAGTACTAGTGATGTTATTACTAAACTCATATTACTCCTGCTGGTTGTTGTTATTAAGAAAATTGTTTGTTTGTTTTGATTGTTTGTGAATTTGGGATTTGGGATTGGAATTGGAATTGGAATTGAATTGGAATTGAAAGGTGGGTAGCAATGATGATGAGGATAATGTACTATAACATTTTATTTTTGGGGTGAGAGTGGGAGAGTTGTGAGGGAGTATGTGGGTGGATTGGAGGGAGAAGATGGGTGGATAATGAGATGGGGTGGGGAGGGAGAGTAAAGATAGGGGATGCAGATAGGAGATATTAGCGAGAATTGAAGAATTGATGAAGATTTTTTTCACTTGTGTGCACTATGTTTCATTTTGCTTGGTGACTTTGAGATTGTGAAGGGGCTGTGAGATTTTGTTTGTTTGTTTATTATTTAGTGATTATGATTTCTATAAGATGTATAGTATTAGATGTAATATGTAATATGTAATGTGTAATGTGTAATATGTAGTGTGTAATGTGTAATGTGTAATATGTAGTGTGTAGTGACAACTCGTTTTTAATTAATTCGAGTGTATATTAAAGTCTAGATGGAGAAAAGCTTTTCTATCTGAACGGCGTAATGAACGTCTTGTGATTTATTGAGTGTGTATGTGTGTATGTGTCTATGAATATGGTGTATTGGTGTAAGATTTAGGATTTATATGTATGTATGTATGTATGTATGTATGTATGTATGTATGTATGTATGTATATATGTATGTATGTATGTATATATGTATGTATGATATATAGTACTTTTTAGAATTGACTGAATATAAATGATGGAGAATGTGGGAAGGTGTGTTTGTTTATTGAATAGGTAGTTTTGGGTGGTTGGTTTTGGATGAGGGTTTTGGATAGGGGGGAGAAGTACGGTTTATCGATGGGGGGGGGTTTTAATATTAGAGGAATGAGGAGTAGAGAGGGGAGGATGAAATTGAGGAAGGGGGAGGAGGGAGGAGGAGAGTGTATTGTATATGTGAGTTTATGGCTTGTAGACTTTTTGTTCTTGGAGATGTGTATTCTGATGTGTGATTTGGGGTTTGGGGTATGAGGTAGGTGGGAGTGTGTGAGTGTTGGAGTGTGTGAGTAGGGGGAGCTCGGGGGAGATAGATTTTGGGGGAGGGGAGGGGGGATGGATAATGTGGAAGTGGAAAATGGGAAGATGGCTGTGGCTTTTGGTATTGGTGGGGTGGGGTGAGGGGGGGTGAAGAGGCTGGTATAAGGAATTGTAGTGAGGGGAAGGGGGGTGTAAGGATGTGAGGATATGAGGATATACGAATATGAGGATGTAAGGATATAAGAATGTGAGGATATAAGAATGTGAGGATATAAGAATGTGAGGATATAAGAATGTGAGGATATAAGAATGTGAGGATATAAGAATGTGAGGATATAAGAATGTGAGGATATAAGAATGTGAGGATATAAGAATTTGAGGATATAAGAATGTGAGGATATAAGAATGTGAGAATAACATCGAGATACAACAGGATAGGAAGAAAAGGGAAAAGGAAGAAGAAGATGATGATATAATATAGCAGAGCAGGAAAAGAAGGGAAGAGAAAGAATAAAAGACTAACCTTCTAAGATATTCCTATTAACTATTAAGAGAGTAAAAGAAGAGTAAGAAAATCAAGGAAAAGAAAGAATAGAAGAAAATCTCACGTACTCAGATATCCTTTTCGAATCTCGAGTACTAATAAAACGAAAAGAAGGGATTTACTAGAAGGAATTTAGGGAGTTGGATTTATATATATTAGTATTAAATGATAATCGTATATATCTTTATATTTATACTAATTTCTTATTTTTATAGCGGAATTTGATAGATAGATAGATACTCAGAGTCAAAAAAAATCGATTGTTAGAAGTCAAAAAAAAATAAGATTAATAGAGGGAGTATAGAGATTTGTTTGTTTATTTATTCGTATTATACTTTAGATAATTAGATAGATTGTATATAGAATTATATCAATATCTTTTCTCAACTTAATCTTATATAGATCTGATCTGATATAACCTGATTAATTTTATTTCATTATTGAATATATATTCACCTATCTACTATATTAAATATCGTACCGCGCATTCTCTTTTTCTTTTTTGTCTTCTTTTTCTTCTTTTTCTTCTTTTTCTTCTTTTTCTTCTTTTTCTTCTTTTTCTTCTTGTTCTTCTTTTTCGTCTTTTTCTTCTTTTTCTTCTTTTTCTTCTTTTTCTTCTTTTTCTTCTTTTCTTCTTTTTCTTCTTTTTCTTCTTTTTCCTTCTTTTTCTTCTTTTCTTCTTTTTCTTCTTTTTCTTTTTTTCTGCTTTTTCTTCTTTTCTTCTTCTGCTTCTTTATTATAATCTAACTATTATATTCTATAATATTATTATATCCTACTATATCTTATTATATTTATTTATCTAGATATCTACACCTCCTATCTGTATCCTCTCATCACGCATCATAAGTTGAGAATCGGAATGTAGAGGGCATGTCTGTATACCGCTTATTATACATACCTAAAGAATATAATTTGTATAATCCTGCGCGTCACTAACTCTCTAGATTTGAGAATTTGGAGATTTGATGGAATGAAATAGAGTATGTGTTTGGAGAGGGATATGTGATGTTTAATATGTGAATACTTATCACAGGGTGTATTCGATTCGGTTGAGGATCTTGAGGCTACATATATGTCATGCCCCTCGGGAAGACGTCATCATGTCGGTATATCATGTATACTGAATGATAGACGCTTGAGAAGCGAGGCTAGCAGTTTAGTGGAGTTGAACATCTACTTATTACCTACTATATATGTATATATATAAGAAGTCCAGAATTGCCATCCAAATGATCATTCTTAAAATCGCCCCTTCTCTTCTCAATATAGAATTTCCATGAAGTTCCAACTTCAAATTCCCTTTTTATCTTGAGATATTTCACCAGGATAAGAATATACCCCTTCTCCTCTCTTCCTCCCGATGAGATCACTATTATAATAATAATCAGGAAAGAAAAGAAAGAAAGGAAGGAAGGAAGAAGGAATGTATGTATTAGGTATGAGTGATTGATTATTTGTATCTTGTATAACATGAGAAAGAAGAGGTAAAGAGAAGAAGAATTGAGAGGATGTGCTTATTTGTATCTGTATTTGGTGGTATTACTTTGTAGAATAGATTCCTTCTAGATCTATTATTTTATTTATTCATTTATTTATCGATCTATTAATCTATAATATACCTACCAAACATCAAACATCAAATACCAAGTCCTTCCCCTCCCCCCTCCCCTCCTCTCTTCCAACCATATCCATATCCTAACCCTAACCCACATCTAGATCTAGATCTATATCTCTCAAACTCGGTTTTAATTCAATCTAATTCAATTCAATCCAACTCAACCCAGTTCCCCGATCGGTGAGAAAGATAAAGACGAAGGTGACGAATGTGGCGTTGATCCTTGGGTGACAATGGTAGGATGGTGATGCATTGGAACTGGAAGGGGAGAGACTAGACTGGGGTTTGGGTGGCGGAGGGATTTTTGTGTAATGTAGTGTACCTAGTGAGATGTGTTTGTGTGTTTGTATATCTAGGTATGTATTTGTAGTGTTTGGTTTGGTGTGTGATTTGAGGGAGAGGAGAGGAGAGATGAAATGAGATGAGGGTACCTGGTATGTATGTATGTACGGCGTATGATGAATGGTGAATGGTGAAGGATATAGGATGGAGGATGGAGGATGAATTCTGGAGGTCGGATTTGGGGTTAGCTGAAGAGGGTAAATTTTTCTTCGCCTCTTCAGATTTTCGATTTTTGGACAGGGAGGGAGCGAAGAGGGGGCGATGGTGAGTAATGTGAGTGATGTGATGTGATATATTTGATATATTTGATAAATGAATGAGTGATTGATGCAGTTAGATTTGAGATTGAATTGGAGGTAAATTGGTTGGTTAGTCTGTATGCTAGATAGATTCTCGAGTACTGTCTAGAATTACCTATACTTAGGGCCCGTTCGGATCGATTTTTTAGGCGATATTGGGCTACATTTGTTGATAATATAGGTTTAAATAAGTGTTTACCGAATGCGAATGTTGTTTAACAATTTATATTGATAATAAAATTGAAAAAAAGTGATTTGCCGAATACTATATTTGACTATAAAAAGCTACAAAATGTGAATTGACAAAATTTGAAAATTTGTATAACAGTTTTGCTAAATTTGTAATGCAATTTTAACTAGCATTTATTAATATATTGTTATTTTACATTTTGTAAGTTATAAATTTCAAATCTATATTTACAAATTTAGATTAAATTATTAGTCAATATATTATTTTATTAACAAATTAAAAAAACGATCCGAACGAGCTCTTAGGTATCTGAAATGGGTTATTGAATTAGGAATGAGATTAATATCGATATTGATATTAATTTATAAATATCATATTGTTCAAGGTTGATAATTGAAGTATTGCTATATTGATTTATTATATAATCGCACTATTTACACCTATAGTATCTCTTGATTTATTACCTAGTAGTCTTTTTCAATAATCTAGTTGAATAGTTACTCTCTAAACATCTATCAAGTACCTATATAGTAGTAGATCTTATCTATTTAACTTAGGAACCCGCTCAATCGAATCGAACGATCATCTAGTCTAATCTCCTAGTCGATTCAACTATTTTCATCTACCGGTAGATCTCTAGATACAGAGTAATAAACCGGTCGGCCGCTTGAAGAGCCAACTACTAATATCACGAGTATATCTAGATATTAACAGAGTATGCTTTTATAGGGGAAGGATTAAATAGGATGGGGTAGATAGGTAAATAGGTAGATAGATAGATAGGTAGGTAGATATCTTTGCCCCTCCAGGGCTCTTTTAGATATTCTTTGAATCGATCGGTCGGTCGGTCGGTCGATTAGGCTTTGGTGGGGGATGGGATGGGATTGTAAAGATGAGGATAAGAGGAGAAGAGGGTACTATATGGTGAGAGAGATTTCAGGATAGAGAAACTAGGAACAGGTCGCTGGGACGGAGTATAATAGAATATATTTTATTAATAGATTTTTAGAGTTGAGTAGTTGGTTGAGTAGTATGGGATTTGGAGTTGGATTTAGATTTGGATTTGAAATTGGGGTTGTATTGTATTGTCTAGGTAGGTAGATAGTTTTTGTTAATTGATAATATTGATATTGATATTAATATTAATATTTATATCTAGACGGAGCGGAAAGGAAGAGGGTACTCCTAAGTAGATAGGATAGATAGGTAGATAGGTAGATTAAGAGGAAGAGGGTATTTCTGAGTAGATAGGTAGATAGGTAGGTAGATTGAGAGAAGAAGGAGATAGTATATAGATATAATTTGATAATAATATAAACACCTAGTAGGTAACGAGATTGATAATTAGAGTCTCTTTCTATATATTATATCCTATCTATCTATTGAGATGAAATATATTATCTTACGATTAGTATACTATATCTAGGTAGTAAAGATATAATTTATATATATCTAGGTATATGAATATACGAAGTATATAAGATCTTATCATTTATAAGTACGGTATTAAGATTTTAATAATAATCTTTCGATAGATAATTAGGTTGATTAGGTACGGTACCGAGGGTACCTAGTAATGAAAGATTTATAGAGTAATTAATTCATAATATCTACGATAGGTACTCTACGATACATGCCTCGAGTCTATTCTATCTCGAGTCTACCTGGTCTACTTATTATTATAATAGATACGCTACGCTCTACGCTCGCGATACGATACGATACGATACGATACGATAGATAACCTAAGCTACCTACCCTACCTAGATCCTTTATTGATCTGTGTAATAATAATAAATAACCTTGCTCGCCTTGGAAGTCTGAGTGAGGCTCCGTCCATGGGGAGATCAATACTTCGTAGTAATTTGTGAATTGGTGAATGGGTGATAACACGGACGCTTCGGAGTGGGAGTTGCTGAGTGCTTGTTTGCTTTAACCTTGTGTGTGTAGGTATGGTGTGGTGTGTGTAGTTTGTGATGATGTGAATGGGATGGGAAGAATGGGAAGAATGGGAAGAATGAGAAGAATGGGAAGAATGGGAAGAATGGGAAGAATGGGAAGAATGGGAAGAATGGGAAGAATGGGAAGAATGGGAAGAATGGGAAGAATGGGAAGAATGGGAAGAATGGGAAGAATGAGAAGAATGGGAAGAATGGGAGGTTAACGTGTATTTAGGTTATATATATGTGGTGGGATATGGATACGATAGATGTGTGGTTGTTGTTGTGATGTTTGTGGAATTTGATCTTTGATCTTTGGGTTGAGTTTGATCGTGTCAGAGTTTGAGAGATTGGTCTTGATCTTGAGCTTGGAGATTGAGACTTGTTTGCTTGATGAGCTTGGTGAATAAAGGAATACGGATCTAGGCAAGCTTGCTTGGTTTCTTTCTATTCCTTTTACTGAGTGCTGAAAGCATATACTTATAATTATTATTATCATGTTAATAATATCCAACCTATCGTAGAGCGAAGCGAAGAAGCCTCCACGGCAGTGGCCCAGCGGAGCGTCATTGATCTAGATCTGGATGTAAACTTTACGATTGTGAGTTTTCTGGATTGTTTGGTGTTGATATATTCATTCACGTATCGTATTTTATATACAGAGGACTTGTATACTCACATACTCCATCACACACATTCCTTCTCCCCTTTCAATTTCACCCTTTTCATCATCCATCCGGCCACCCCGTCCTTTGCAGTTTCACCTCTCACCCCATCACCAAGGCATTCAATTGCGTTGTCGTTGCATTGAAATTGACGGTGCCAAAGTCCAGCATGGATCCATTTCTGATACTTGGGTGGACTAGCTCGATCCATCCAGGAAAATGGCATCCAGCCTATCAGCGGCCGATGTCCAGGATGGTGTCGATGCTGGAAATACCGGTCACGGATCTTTCCTGCAATAGGTTATGTGGAAGATATCTTTGACCCGAAAATGTCTTGGAGCTAAACTATTTGTGGTATCAGGTGATGAGGGTTTTTTGGGAGGTGGAGGGTTAGGTAGAGTTGAGGTTGAGGGTGATTATGTAAGTTGGATTGGGTTGGGTATGGTGGGTTTGGGATGATGTTGATTGTTTGGGTGGGAAGTTTGATAAGTAGGTAGTGGGTAGGAGGTGGGTAGGAGGTGGGTGGGAGGCAGGTAGGAAGGCAATGAGGAAGGCAAGGAGGAAAGCAAGAGGAAAGCAAGTAAGAAAGAATGTAGCTCAGAAAGCAAGTAGGAAGGCAAAGTGGGAAAGTAAGAAATCAAGAAATCAAGAAATCAAGAAATCAAGAAAGTAAGAAGGCAAGAAAGTATCGTAACAACTTACCAGGCAAGGCAGAAAGGGCAAGTTTTACTCATTCCAAAAATGCCTCTTTTCTCCTCTTTCCCCTCTTTTATTACCCTCAACACTAGGTAATCTCAGACCTATCTATCGTACGTACTGGCCAGCGTAAGGGCAGTACAATGATTGAAGTGAAATTCATGGCAAGTGATACAACAATTAAATGATTTTAAATGATTTTCAAGCGTACGATAGGTACTGATATCATTCATGATGCGTAGATGGTTGAGAAGAGAATCGAATGAATGAATGAATGAATGAATGAATGAATGAATGAATGAATGAATGAATGAAATTAGATGGATGTTCAATGTCTTTTTTGGTGATGATTCTATTTTATTCAATACTGTGATTTATTAACTATGATTTGACTGTGATTTAATTGTGATTTATCTATCATATGAACAGGACATATATATATATATAAATAACATCAATCAATATATACCGAGATACGGTTACTACTTCGTATCTTAATACCATCTTAGTACCATCTTATTAATCAACAAAGGCATTATTTTGATTTTTTTCTTTCTTCTCATGATGATTGATTATTATTAATCCATATCGGAAGGAGAGCCACCCAAACAAGGCCACGAATTCGTCCTACCATTTTTTTAAAGTCTCCTACTAGTCCTACGATACAAGTTCAACCACTAGATACCTGCTACCGCTTTTATATTATTCCTCTTGAGTCTTTTATTACAGTCAGCAAACTTAAAACATCGAGACCCTTTCCTTTCACCTTTCACCACCGCCATCACCACTACTACCTCCCACTCACTGCCACTGCCACTATTACTACTACTACCTACTACTTCAATTCCCTTTCTCCCTCCTCCCTCCCTCCCTTCTCCATCTTTCTTCCTCTCGACAAGATTGGATCAATAGAATCAATTTTAAAGGTACGTACACTTCTTTTCTCATCGACCACCCTTATTAGCTTCTTCTCGTATTGATTATTGGAATATCATTTCATAATCATTCACTCAGAGGGGATCATTCGATCATTCGATCATTTTTCCAATTTTCAATTTCCCATTTCCTATTTCCCATTTCTCATCCGCAGCTTTCGTGTTCTACCGACTCTCCTCTCCTCTACTGTACTCGCGTTAGCCGCTTATTTTCCTTCTTTCCTTCTTTCCTTCAAATCTACTGTACCGACCGACTTACTTTATCTTTCCCACATCCCATACTCACTCACACACACCGCTTCCCCTACTCCCCAACTACAAAAATCACACACGCACACGCACACACACCACGCACACACTCACTCACACACACACATACAACTCAACCCCACAACTAATCTGACACGACTTCTCTCTAGTGTCGATTCTTCCAAATCCTTTCTCGACTCTTTCAACCTGACCTCCCTCCCTCCCTCCTCCACCTTCTTCGAATCCATTAAACCTCGACGGATCCTCTTCATCAATTATCCATCATCTCTTTTCCATCAAATTCCATCCTCCTCGACTCTGGTATCGGAATTTCCGATACGCTGAGTCCATAGTTCAACTTCAAGATGACTACTATGGTGGGTGCTAAGAAAACATCCCCTCTGGTTTATACTCCCATTTTCCAGCCCTTCATATACACATTCTTGTCTTGTTCTTCGCCGGCTTCACATTCGAACGCTGCCGCGGGAAATTGAAAATGCTGCATGTTTTTAATCCCTCACCTGGGGGGTGTCAATCTCACAGCCTTGTCTCCGTAGGGTGGCACATGCTCGTACCCTTTTATCACTCCCATTTAATTATTACACATTACTCGCATCTTCATCATGACACCGAGGCTAACCTCTCCTCTCTCTCTAGGATCTTCGAGTGGGTAATAAATACCGCATTGGTCGTAAGATCGGTAGTGGCTCCTTCGGTGATATCTACCTTGGCACCAACATCATCTCGGGTGAAGAGATTGCCATCAAGCTTGAGTCAGTCAAGGCGAAGCATCCTCAACTCGAATATGAGGCTCGTGTCTACAAGTCCCTCGCGGGTGGTGTCGGCATTCCGTTCGTTCGCTGGTTCGGTACCGAATGTGATTACAATGCTATGGTTCTTGACCTTCTCGGACCCAGTTTGGAGGATCTCTTCAACTTCTGCAACCGCAAGTTCTCCTTGAAGACGGTTCTGCTTCTCGCCGATCAACTCATCTCCCGTATCGAGTACATTCACGCCAAATCCTTTATCCATCGTGATATCAAGCCTGACAACTTCCTCATGGGTATTGGTAAGCGTGGCAACCAAGTCAATGTCATTGATTTTGGTTTGGCCAAGAAGTACAGAGACCCAAAGACTCACTTCCACATCCCATACCGTGAGAACAAGAACTTGACGGGTACTGCTCGTTACGCCTCCATCAACACTCATCTTGGTGTCGGTATGTACCCCCCTCCCCCCACCTTTTCCATTCCACTCTGCTCTCAACGCTAATCATGTATTCTAGAGCAATCCCGTCGTGATGACATGGAATCCTTGGGATATGTCATGCTCTACTTCTGTCGTGGTTCCCTTCCATGGCAAGGTCTCAAGGCTGCTACCAAGAAGCAGAAGTATGACCGTATCATGGAGAAGAAGATGACGACCCCTACCGAAGTCCTTTGCCGTGGATTCCCAAATGAGTTTGCCATCTACCTCAACTACACTCGCTCCCTCCGATTCGACGACAAGCCAGATTACTCTTACCTCCGAAAGATCTTCCGTGATCTCTTCGTTCGTGAAGGTTTCCAATATGACTACGTCTTTGACTGGACTGTCTACAAGTACCAAAAGAACGCTCAGCAACAGCAAATCAAGCCACAAGATGGTGATAAGACACCAGCTGAGGGTCAAACCAGTGCTCAAGCCACGGCTGGAAACACTGCTGGGAGACAACGCAAGACTGTCACTCCAATTCAGCAACAAGGACAAGCTCCCGAAGGAACCGGTCACTAGTAAGTCTCCCCACACTCTACTTGTCTCTTGCATAGAACTCTTTGGTTCTTCGCGTTTGGCTTCAATAGCGCTGGCCGCGAAGAGGACATTACGCTAATAGACGGCTGACGCTTTAGTTATTAAAATAGCCTACGCTCTGCCGGTCCCCCTCCACCAGGCAATGGTCTTTGAAATCCTGGAATGAATTGTCTCTCGTAGACTTTTGTTTCGATACTCGACATTCGGCTACTTGAGACTGACTCAGTCCCACCAAAATCAATATCGTTGACCATGCAAGACTTGTTTATTGACACATTCTTGAATTTGGCTCGATCTCCACTCCAACAAATATCTCTTTTATGGACCGCTTTCTTTTTTCTTTCATGGATCGATTACTGTCTTTCCTAATGGCTCGAGCACTTTTGGTTTTCATCATGACATATGACTCATATTTGATTCTTCCTCTGGGGAGTGATCATTTGATGAGCAGCGTCATTGGAATTCCAAAGTAATCGAACGGCACGTCGATGGCATAATTTCCCTTTTTTTATTCGAAGTCGCACGACAAGATCAAATCATCAGATTCAACACTTCGAAATATATCTTGTGTCATCTATCAAATCCGTCATGATCCCGAAACAAGCGAGTACAAGGCACATCAAGTCAAACATGCAAATCTTCAATTTATTGCTCTGTATTGGCACGCCCACTGTTTTTCCTGAGATATTTTGTTCCGATGGATTTTATTCTTTTCCTTTCTTTATCGTTGCTTTTCATTGAATGATATTCGGACTATGTGTGGTAGAGGGGATGAGGATGATGTGGTAATGAAGGGGGGTGATTGACACTCAAAGTACCAATCTGGAGGGATGTTGCATTTCTTTGACAACTTATCTTCGGGGACAATTTTTGCAACAATCGAGATGAAATACTTTTTTGGAGATCACTGGGGTGACCACACATGGGAATAGCAGCTTCTGGGGAGGTCTCTTTTATTTGTTGATTGACGTTTCATTTTACAAAGCTTAGTTGTGTTTCATGATGAATGGATGGGGTAGCTGATGTTAAGAGCAAGACAAGGAGAAGTGAACTGATATGAAGTTCAGAGATTGTTTAAAGCTCGCATACAAAGTTACTGGTCGAAGATTATCAAAGTGCCTATACATACACGCGCCTATACGTTGTGGAGGAACCCAACCTTGGTTGGGTACTTTTACACTTTGGTAGATACGTATCTTGCTATAGGTTCCTAGAATAGTTGAATGAAACATGGAACCAACTCAATTAAAGTCTTGAGAATATATTGATATGTAATTGTGATGTGGTGATTCTAGGATGTGATAAGGGTTTAGTCAAGGTTAAGTATAAGATGTATGATGTCAGAGGGTGTTTTTCTAGTCCGTGGTTTAAATTTGAGTTTGGTGCCAAGATGTTTAGTGTACAGGGAGGTAGGTAGGTATATCAATTTCATTAAGCTTGGAGCAATTTTCAAATTGAGGGGTAGAGACCGGTCTGGATATATACATGGATATATATTATCTAGAAAGCTTACTGGTATGAGGAGGTAGAGGAGGTAGAGGGAGAGGGAGAGGGAGAGGTGATTTTTGTAGGCGGGTAGAAGAAGGTATTTAATTAGGTATTGTAGGTGGATGAATATATTATATATAATATAATATAGTATGGTATGGTATAAAGAGAAAAAGGAAAAGGAAAGGAGGAAAGGGAGGTTCGAGAGTTCTGTTGTGGATTGGATGGGATTATGTTTCTGGATATTTGGGGTGGTGGTTGGTTAGGTGATTAGTTGGTTGATATTACTTTTGGGGGAAGGTGGATATGGATATGGATATGGATATGGATATGGATATGATAGATGTGAGTGATAGATGGATGAGAGGGGTGATGGGTGAGAGTGATATGGGTGAGAGAGGGGGGTGGGAGAGGTGAGAGGGGTGATATGAATGATAGGGGTGATATGGATGATAGGGGTAGGTATATATATAGGTATTTATATATGTATAGTAGTTGATTGAAATTCCGAAATATAAGATATTGAATATAGGATATGGAATGTGACCTGTTGAAAATATAGGATGTAGGATAGAGGATATGGGATATAGGATAGGGAGTGGAGGATAGAGAAAATAATCAGTCTAAAAGAAGTTGTAGGGATACATATGAATATTGAGATATATTTGGTTTATAAGAGGATTAAGGATGATGGTGTGTTTTGGTGGGGGGTGGATGGATATGGATGGAGATTGGTTGAGTGGTTGGTTGATTGGGATGAGATGAGAGATGAGATGAGATGAGGGAAGAAGTGGAAGGGAAGGGAGGATGGAGAGGGAAGATGGAGAGGGAAGATGGATATAAAAAGGAGTAAGAGAGGTGATAGAGGTAATAGATTTGGTTTGTAATTAGTGATTTTGATGGATGGGTAGATGATATTTAGATAGAAAAAATAGAAAAAATAGAAAAAATAGAAAAATAGAAAAAATAGAAAAAATAGAAAAAATAGAAAAAATAGAAAAAATAGAAAAAAAAAATTAGAAAAAATAGAAAAAATAGAAAAATAGAAAAAATAGAAAAATAGAAAAAATAGATAGAAAAAATAGAAAAAATAGAAAAAATAGAAAAAATAGAAAAATAGAAAAAATAGAAAAATAGAAAAAATAGAAAAAATAGAAAAAATAGAAAAAAATAGAAAAAATAGAAAAATAGAAAAAATAGAAAAAATAGAAAAAATAGAAAAAATAGAAAAATATACTAATCTTGAAATCTTATAGGTAGTCAGGTCAAGGGGGGGTATATAGGGGGGTATATAGGGGGGTATATAGGGGGGCATTAGGGGGGATGTATATATATATTTCTTTTCGAAATCGATGACTCTTTTTATTCTCTTTTTTAATTTTTTGTTTTTTTTGTTTTATTATTGGGAATTGGGAGGGGGGTTGTTTGAGACTCTGAGGATTGGGGATGGGGATGGGGATGAGAATAAGGATGGAGATATAGGATAGAATATAGAATGTAGAAAATAATAAGTGTAAGGAATGTTGTAGGGATGAGGATAGAAATAGTGATGCGTTTTGGAGTGATATGTATGTATGTATATATATATACATAGATCGTATATTTCCCATTCTCGGAATTCGATATAGATAAATGAAATGTGTATATGTTTTTTGGAAAACTTGAAATAGGGGTGGGAAGGTTGGGGGAAGAGAGGGGAGAGGGGAGAGGAGAGAAGGGTGATAGATAGATACATTTTCAAATTTGAAGGGGATCATACGAATACGTTTGTGATGGATAATAGTAATGGGTTGGCTACTCGGCCCTACTCACGTGGATGAAAGTTCATCACTTCCTATCTATTTAATATACTTTGAGAAATGGTTTAGGTTTTTTCGTTTGTTTGGTGTGTTTTATTGCGTGCTTGGCTTGTATGTATCCGTATACTTAGTGTGTAATAACTGCGGAATATGAGTTATATAAATGAGGTATCTACCAAGTGAGCAAGATAGACAGCGTTTTGTATTTCATCTGATCTGTGACCTCATTTGGTGATTCGGAGTTGGGATTGGGATTGATATGATTGGTATCTACATCCTCTCGTTGCTCATGAAAAAGTGTTCAGGGTGTTGGGTTATCGAGATTCACTTGATCACTTCACTTCACTATTTCTTCACCCACAGTACATCTCCATCCATTAAACCCACAGAAAGAGATTCACTTTCACGAAAATCCCATTATATATTTCTCTCTATTCCACTCCATTCCCTCACCCTCCCAAAATCCCCTCCCAAAAAAAGAACAAAAATACAATCTAAAATCTAAAATCATCCGCAATACCCACAAATGAGTACGCTTCACCGATTCCAATTAACACCGGGTTAGGGAACTGTAACTAACAGAGTTACCCGCCATGACCATTCGGCCACGACCCCTGAAAGCTGATGTAGATGTGTTTAATGAGAAATATATAGGGTCGTTGGTGCGTTGTGAGGGGAGTCTAGATAGTGTTGATTCATTACTATTGTATGGTGCGCTGCAGATGCTTGGTTTTATGTATACGGTTTTTCACGAGGAGATAAGATGAGATGAGATGGTTTTTAAAAGTTGATGCATACTTCTGATAGCCATTAGGTTACTTATCTGGGACGACAAGCGGCCTTTGATAAAGTTGTGATGAGTTCTGGGATGGTTTGATATCTGAGTTTGAATAGATGATATGGGTGAAGGAATATAGAAAACTAAACAGTGTTAAATCCCATTCTATGTTATTGGAAGACATCTAACATGACCTATATTATGATGTGATATCATGGTATATGCACTTTCAAGTGATGAGGAATAGCAATATAAAAATAGATCTGGAAGATTATCATTCTGGTGAGCGATGAGTGACACCATGACGAGAGAAAAATGAGGGGGGAAAATAGTACCCTACCCAGCTCCCTAAACACTCTGCGGAGAGAAAAGTACATTCTCATGTGAAAGTGATCATATTATATTCCGATCAGATTTGCAGACTTATATATTTTCTTTTTGGATTCTTATTCTGACTTGAAGTTTTGATCTGGATAAGAGATTCCTCTCGGTAGATTTATAAGTAGCTTCTTATAATCATTCCATAGATACTTGTAGCAAAATCGATAATAAGAGAAAGAATGGAGGTTTTTGTCTTCCTCGAGGAGGAAATAGATGTTATTGAGATCCAGAGTTTCGATGCCTTTCAGCGCTTTTCTAAAAAATAAGCTTATCTAATACTCAGGAAAATATAGTTGAGAATTAAATATATTTAGAAGGTGTATTATTAGTCGAGCGTTGTTCGAGTCATATTTCGATATTTCGGATATATGATATGGTTATACATCATGACATCGAGATGCCAGGTATTATATTCAATACTGTATTCTTCTTATACGATCTAAGGAGATTGTGGAAGCTGGATTAACTTGTAAGTCTCGGTTGATGTTGGATTGGTTATGTCATGTGAGATGTATGTTCTTTTTTTGTGTCTAATTCGGATTTGATACTAATCTCTCTTTCAAGATCAGTTTGTAATGATCTGCTGGGTGGATTTTCAAATGCGTTCAATATCTCTCTTATCGTTTTATAGATATCATCTCAAAATTGTGTAGAAGAGGAGCAACGTTACAGCAGGGCTTTTGAGAGATCATTTTTTCAATGTCGGTAAGGTATAGGGGCAAAAATTTCTGCATGTAAGATTCATGCGCGTGGTAGCACTTAGAGAGCGACCACGGGCGTGCATCTTTCTCGCTCATGATTCTATGTTTGAATCAATTTTCGCTTAGATCATACTCCTGCTTATATGTCTTCCAAATGTGTCAGCTTTTTGAAAGCGGAATCAAATATATTAACATTGTTCCTTGAAAATCAAACGAGCTAATGGTATTATTTTCATAGGAGAAAATCACTTGCGTTTCCTACTTCCATCAAAGTCTCCCAATCAAATATGCGGTGTCAAGAACCATCGTTATTGTAGTTGATTTCTTATACAGCCAATTCAAGATTGACTTGGCAGATTGCGAAGATTGGTTGAGAAAGTACCCGATTTCAGGATGTTGAGCTTTCGCCCACGGATACTAAAGGCAGATATCAAGTCGAAAAAAGCAGGCAAATAAACAATGAGTTCTTCATTAGATGTAAGTCAAGGGTATGAAATATAATTGTGGAGGAATTGCTCTGTCGCTTGAATAAGTTATGATTCTGTAGGGTTCCAAGAGATCAGAATAATTCAACATGTTAGGTAGAGGATTTTGAAGCACTTCTGGGGATTCAAAGATATGATTCCTTGAATGCTATATATCTTATATATTATATCTAGTTGTCATGGTACTTAAGAGTGCCCTTTTCAAGAAAGAGTATCGAAGTTTGGAAAAATAAAACAGATGTTTTTGTAATTTCCTACCTTCAGATTACCTAATGATGACGATGTGTGTTATATCAACTGGTGCTTGCACAAGGAATCGAAATCAGGCGTTAAGCTGTGTAGATTCATCAGAGACATATCCACAACATACAAGTGGAGAACATGCCTATATTCACGAGTCTTCTCGGCGTCCATACCCTTCCAATTCCTCGGAAGTAGATAGATATTGTCAGCTAAATGGCTAAATGGAAGCCAGTTTAGAATATACCGGCGTATTAGACGTGTACCTCTCTTGAAAAACATTTAGATGGGTATCGTACAGCTTCAATGTTGAGAAACATCAACGCAAGATGATATGGTACGTAGTTGAGTGTGTAAGTTGTGAGCAGTGTCAAGTAGTACTCTGTGATTGAGGCACGTCCTGTATAGATCTTCTCAGGGACGTCAGAATATTCTCACAAAGGTAAATTTTGGCTTTTCTCTATGGTTTGACTTCTTCCTGGGTTAGATCGTCAAAGTAAAGTACAACGACGGGTCACTGTCGACTCATCGAAGGTTGTTCTTATTTTTGCAACCACCTTTCCAGCTGTGATAATTTGCTTAGCATTAATATAGAGTATTATCTTTCCCATCCAGGCAGAATACTTTATTGACGCACATTCGAGATGTTACATGTACATCACTTCAAATTCTTGACGCAAAAACATACATTGCACGATTATGTGTGAGATGACGTTGATACTCGAAGGCGAATTGCTTATCAATCAATATCCAGCAAATTATTCGAGATTGGTGTACCTTCTCTACAGATTCAAAGTCCATATTTTCCTTGACGCATTCTAAAAAATACTGCGGAGGTTTCTCTTTCCATATGAAAAGGCGTTCATTCTAATTGATTGCATTCGCGATGATGGTGTAATCATCTAAGTCCCAATCTCGTCGACTTAGTATGTCTTGGTTCAAATGGGGCATCTTCGATCAAATGAATAGAATAGATCTGTATAAGAAGAATACATCTGCAGTTGAGACGCCTGCGTTTCACGTTGCACCATCCTGTCCCCTCCATGCAGCTCAACACATTATCACGTGAAGTACATCACGAGGAGTGCGGTTTCACCAGAATTTTCAAACCGGTTTGGCAATTCCGTATTACTTCTATTAGTCATTTACTGATCATGTAGTTAGTCCAATATCAACTCAAATTGCACAATTAACCTTTTCGAGTCACCTTCCCATGTCCATGAACCGAGTAATTGTATTTTGAACTCAACACTAATTACCTACCGATAGGTGTCACGAATGATCGAGATGATAGCCTATAAATGCCCAGAAATTATAATCGGTGAGTCAAAACGGCATCGCTGCTCCATGCACATGGCGTAATATCTCATGCGTCTAGCCGTCTTGGCAGCGTTAACAAGGATGCATTACACCCCTTTGAGCCCGTTTGTCGCACTTTTTGACATTAGATACTGGGAATTGTCGCTCTTCTACAGTAGAATTAAAGTGACTAGGAAAATACGACTTCGATGAGTCAAAACATTTGGTGTTTGTTTGCATTTACTCGCGCTCTCTTTTTAATTTGTTGCTGCGAGGGAAAGACTATCTCTCAGGCCGTGAAAAACTTCTATCTCGATATCTGATCATTGACCATCTACTTCTGCCGCACAAAGTACTCCTAGTAAACGCGAGTTCTACTCTAAATAGCGATATGAAACAAGCGAAATCAAACGGTAACAAGAGAGAAGTGAAGCGTGGAAGAAAGTGTACAAGAAGAGAACAGCTGCAGAGGCACTTGAAGTTCAGTGAGGGACCAAGGAATTTCAAGAAACGAATGAAAAGAAGGCCTGCAGTGGCTCATAATAATTTGAGGACCGTTACCCTCTGGAATGGTGTGACAGAGGAGGCGATAGAATCTCGTCCAGGTATAGGTCAAACGTACGCAAGGCTTTATGGTCTCACATGAGAAAAAAAACTGATGATGTTGTACTCGCAGACTCGATGGAAAGGCGGAAGAAAAGGGGAAAGCGATTGCTCGAGTCGAGATAGAAGATGTTTCAGACCCGCCCAGCAATGATCCCGAACTTCCGCATCTGGTCAGTGAGCCTCCTCTGGAATGTGTCGAGCTTATCATGAACGATGGTATGTAGTTCATTCCTCTGATCCCATCCCACTACGGAAACTCTTAAACTAAGAACTAGCTCGCAGACTCAAGAGCGCCTCCTCCAATATCCATGTCTGAAGAATTAGAAGTAAGGAAAGAGATCTTGACTGAAACGACAAATCTAGAAATAGACGATATCGAAAAGATCACAATGTTCCACCAATTGCTCTGCAAGGCTTATAATGATGCTATCGATTATACCAAATTTCTTTGGAAATTTCTCGAAGGGCAACCGGACTCCATTGATTTGGTTGAACAGTGTTGGGAAGACCTTCTCTCAACCAAAGATCTTTTTGAAGACGATGGTAAGGATGAAGAGACTCTACTTTCACCAGTGGTAATCATGAGAAGATTTTATAAAGCTTTCATATCCTTTGGAGAGATTTGGAAAACGATATTAGACGAGAATTGGGGAAATCTAGAGACTCCGTTGCAAAGGGTCGTGGCGATGAGCGATTTACAATCTATCATGAAGTCAATTGAGCCTCAATGTGACAATCGTGATTTCGATAAATTTGGCTGTCGTTGGCCTGACGGGAAACTCCAGCCTGTGGAGAATTTACCGACAGAGAATTGTCATGCAAGCAAGAGGGTCCAACTGTTTCAAATGGAACCGCCAGATAAAAAGAGCAAGTTGGTGGATGAACGTGCATGCATATGGATCAAGAAGCTCACGGGATGCCCTTGTGGGACGTGGTGTGCAGGACCTTCACGAAGTTCATGATTGGAAAAGGACTGAACAGTGTGCGTGAATTTTTTTTGGAATAATATCATGGCTGTAGGAGATGAAGTCTCCATTGTATATGAACCCCCGATAATACATTTTTTAATCATTACGTGGCCCACACCCTTGCATATCCGAATCGTGCCTCTTGAATCACTTCGTCAGAAAACCCTTGAGCGATAGAAACCCCGTTAATGATAAGGCTGACATCACAGTACTTTACTCCGCCTTACCTGAAGTGCCTTCAATTCATTGTTTATATATGTACAGTTCCTAAGATTCTCGCCATTTTCATAACCTCAAGCGGCAGAAGATCGACTTAAAACTGATCAATACACCGAGTTCGCTTACTCTTCAACAACTTTAAGTGGGGATTCAAAAAAGCGAAAGACAACAACATGGATAAACATATAAAAAATCGCTGTCCAGGAGTGATTATCGAGCAGGTCATTTTCGATGACAGAAACGCCCACTTCGCGCGTGTTACCTTTTAAAGCTTTCAAAAGCTAAGCCCGTTCTCTACATCACCATCTTCTCATTCTATTGATCGGATTGAAGCATCACGGTTTTTCAATACTAAACCATAGATCCAGACCCTCGAATAATGCATTTCTCCCGCGTTAATAGATACTTTTACAACTCTTTTAGCCCATCTCAACCCGTTAGATTTGAATGATCACTAATCCATCCTAGCTCGCTGGATTAAAGCCATCAATGCTTTCCTGATCAGTGATTCCTAGAAAGGAGCACTGACATTTTTCTTTCTAACTACAGTGATTTCGAGAAGAGTGATCAGATTCAATTTGCTGGAGTAGTGTTGACTCAATATCAAAACTTGCCGTCAAGGTGAAAACAATGAATGTGGCAACACATTAGGCTGCCCTCATGCCAGCTTGTAGGGCGGATAGTCACCTCCGAACAGACACAAACTCCAGAGATTCACATAGGACGTTTTATATACAACAAAATAAAAGAGTCACCAGATATCGACATTCTGTTGTGATGTGAAGGCACAAAAACCAGAAATCTTGTATCAGCGTTTACATGCGCACAGTAACGACTATAAACTAGTTCATCTCCATTTCATCATCATCATTTCTCGCCGAGTCTGCGCCACCATTCTCTCCATTCAAATTGGATTTATACCCCCCAGCACACAAACACATTTTCTCCATCTCATCAGAGAGTTTCGATTCGTCATTAGCTATCTTCAATTTTCGACAGCCCTCACAATTCGATCTAGTCCTCGTTGATATAGGAGGTTCCAACTCCACCATTACAACTATCCTCTTTTTCACTGGAACATAAAAATTATCAGTAACTACCCATGACAACATTCGCAGGAATTATTACGCACATGAAGGAAGAGAAACAGAAGCCCTCCACTCGAAACTCCGGATCTGTTCTGCAGAGAGATGCGCAAAGCGTTTATTCATTGTCGAATTTGATGAGAGATGACCAGTCCTGAACAGAAATTCGGCGGCTGCGATGACACGCTTCTTTTTCATTTGGTGCAGCTGCGATGAAATCTCTGGTTTACTAATCAACCGTTCGAAGAATTCTCGCCTTCTGTTGACAAATGCCTTTTTGTTGCCGTGGAATGACTTTCTTGTTGCCTCCGCCGTTTGCGCAAAACCTTCTCTAAATGCCAGGAATACTGCGAGACGTTCTAGGTGGATACGACGATCATTGTGTAAGATGGGAAGTTGAGATTCGATGCCATCGTCCATGACAGTGTCGGTCGGGGTAGGATCATGAGATTCAGTAACTTCTGCCATGATTTTCGCGGTGGACGGAATGAGATCTAGGAGAGGGCGCCGAGGATAAATGAAAGAAATAAAGGTGAGAAGCCGTGTCGAAATAAGTTCCTTTAAACAAGCTTTGACTCCATCGATGCAGTGAATACCTATCAAGGGTACATGTCGCAATTTCACTGGATCGGCTTTGTAGATTTTCACTCAAGGGGAGGGACATGAGGGCAGAATCTGAAAAACTTGACAATGTGTAGTGTTGATCCGCCATATCGATAGCGGAAGATGAAATAAAATCCTACATGATTCGTCAAGTGACGTTGAGCAAAGATGTACTTTCCACATTGGCCCATTACACTCACTCAACCATAATTGCTTTAACTTAGAAGGGAACAACCGAATGAAAGTTGCAGGAGTACAGTAGAATTGATTTGAGCTTCTGTTTTTCGTCCAGGGAAATAGCAGGCCAAGCCGAGAAATCAGCATCGATTAGATGACTTCACTGTATTGTCAACTTGGTGGGAAGAGATGATACTCATACAGCAATTTCGACTAGGTGGAGAATCCGTCCTGAAAGTCATAAGTAGCGACGTGCTGAAATATGTATACTGCCCTTGAATATGTCAAAGTCCAGTGTTTGGACAAGCGTTTTTGTGGAAGCATCGATGTCGCTTCCCCTATGTTAGCTTAAATAAATGTGATAATTAGGAGTAAGCTGCCTTTCCAGGTTGCATGGGGTCGTTTAAACTATTCGGCGTTTAGGATTTCACAATCTTAATATATCACTTCAAGACATGTAAAGAAAGAATCTGGAAAATGGCCAGGCAAGTCAGAAAAAGGTTCATCTGGGCAGACGCGCTTGCGAACCATCCATCACAACAAAGTCAATCGGTAGTCATACATTATTCACGGGCATTGAAAAGGGAATGTGGAATCATCGTTGATTGATATAGCACAAGCTCCATGTCCATTGAGAATATGTCGAGGCCCTCAAGAGACAATCCAAGTTCTCGCAACTCCAGGTCGTTCTATCATCGTGAATATTCGTAGAATCGTCATTTCCTGCCGTTCATATCCACCAATGGAGGTATTTACGTTCGCGATCAATCATATCACAAACGACTCGTACACACGAAAATAAATCAAATTTTATGAGGGAATCGTTTTTGATTTGATGCAAGATATCCGGATTTTCCCAAACGCCCCTCTGCTGCTTGTTGCATCGATCTTTCGCAAGGAATTTTGGGTGAGGTCCATCTTCTATCCATCAAATTGCGTATCGAAAACTAGAACCATGTCTAAACCCTCATTGAGCCATTGCCATTAACCGAAAAGACGAAGCCAAAAGAAAAGTAGCAAGAATATATCTAATCTACTTTCTTCTGAAAGAGCAGCCCTCAGTCAAACGAGCCTTACCACCTGTTGGTTGGCAGAGAACAGTTGAGCATCCAGCGCAGATGACAACGGTTTGGGCGTGGCTGAAGACAGTGGTGATGGTGAAGCATCCTGGGCACTTAACATCCATGAAGAAGGATCTTGGGGCTGGGACAAGTTGCTAGAGTGGCAAAGAAATATTAGCTTCTGCCAATTTTGAATCGAGTCGAAGATTTAGTGAAAGGTGTTGTCGCATACCTTGAGCTTGTGCTTGCGTGCCTCAGCAGCTGGGGATGGGTTGAGGAGATCGATTGCGAGAACCTAGGTGGCAAATTCTGATTAGCCATTGACCTCATCGAATTTCAACCATCAAATTCCATCATCAACGCATCCATTCCAACAATTCGATCCAATCCAAAGGCGAAGAAATAACATTTTCCAATCCGTTTCAAGCTTGTTCTCCTCCTCGTGATTGCCGTGTGAATGTCGTGTGCCATTGTACAATTCCACCTCATGCCTTCAAACCAAAATCGATGCGTTGATGTGGGGATAATTGATTGAGTGATTCCTTACCATCTTGACGTATTTTGATCGAAATTGTTATTCGGATATTGGACTGACGGGTCTTTGTCAAAGTCTCGAGTTTTTTGGACGTAGAGGGCGAAGGTCAGTCTATTGTCGATGGGTCGAACTGGTAAGTTTCAAGAGCGGAGAAAATTGAACCAATTCTAAAAACCCTAGAGTGTGCCAGATTTTTAACCGAGATCGATCACGTGAAGACGAAATTCGACCCGTAAAAATAGCTCGTGCTTTTAAGTGGATCGGCTTCTGGGTCATCTTTGCTCCGACTACCCCTCCAATTGCTCAGAGCTAGGCCAGGCTGCAGATTGTGGATTCCACATAACAATTGTCTTGGAGCAAATTTAGGTCAAGTATCATCATAATACAAGAATTCCTCAAATCAGCCTCAACTTTCACAATCATGGCAGCTCCTATGGATCAGAGAATCAATGTGCCTATAGATGATCCAAATGCCGATACAGAATGGAATGATATTTTGCGAGCCAAGGGTATCATTCCCGAGAAACCTCCTTCCCCCACGCCCCTTATCGAAGAGGCTATTCTCGAGGGACGTCGTCTTGCGCACGAAAACCGACTTGAAGGAAAGGATCTCGATGAGCTAGACGCTCTTGAAGATGAAGAAGACGATGCTTTTCTCGAACAATATAAAAAACAACGAATGGCAGAATTATCATCTATATCGAAGAAAGCCAAACACGGCGCAGTATACCCTTTATCGAAGCCTGATTATCAGAGAGAGGTTACAGATGCAAGTCAAGACTCGCCAGTATTGGTCAATCTCACGAGTGGGTTGGGAACGAATGTGGAAAGTAGGGTCTTGACTGAGTTGTGGAGAAGAGCAGCTGTTGAGTTTGGGGAGGTCAAGTTCTGCGAGATGAGGGGTGACATGGCTATTGAAGGTTATCCCGACAGAAATTGCCCTACAATACTGGTGTACAACAAAGGAGATATTGTGAAACAAGTGGTTACATTAATGACCATGGGAGGTGTGCGAGTAGGAATGGCGGAGATCGATAAGCTGTTGATCGAAATTGGAGCCATCAAGGACAATGACATGAGAGTTACGAAGCGGAGACGTGATGCAGAGGATGAAGAAGAAGAACGTCAAGAGAAGGGCGGCATTCGAGGTTCGAAGCTACCCAATGTTGAGAGTGATGATGACGAAGACTAGTAAAAGGAAATCTGGGATCACATTGCATAGCATTTGGAGTTTTGGTGCATATAGGAAGACAAAAGATCAACTCTTGTCCTTATTTACCGCAATTCACACGCGAATCCTCGTTTAAAGGTCCACAAATATGATGGGCCAATTATCCCAGTGCAGTAACATGTCTTTCTATTTGTCTAATTACTTCCGAGGGTGATTCTCCAAGTTAAGAGTCATCGCATGCGTTGTATCTCAGTATTGAATATACTCGCAAGTTTGTCCAAACCATTCAAGCTGCGCGTCCAATGATCATCAACTAGGTTCGCATCTTTACACGAAAAACACTATCTTAATAGATCAAAGTTCTTCACGGGCGATTGGAGCCTCGCAATCTATCGTCGAATGATTCCTGAGTTCCGCATCCTTGGCTTAGGAAGTATGCTTGAGAATTCGCAGATGTATCGTCTCGAAGCTCGAAAGGAGCCCCACCCTTAATTACTACCAGTAGGTTACCTACAATGGGTGGGTATTTTTTAGAGGCATTTCGGATTGAAAAGACGACTGGAGATTAATCTTCTAATCATTACTCAGTACTCGCACTCTCAGAACCATACTATTGAACGTCTCTTCTCTGGCTTTCAATTTTACTCATCCATTTTGCAGGCCTCTAGAGTAAACACTTCCGCGACAACTTTCCTGTCTCCCCCTCAGCGTGTGCACTGATATGACATGTCTATACTCAATAGTAGGTTGACTGGTAATCGAGGTGCTTCTCACATGATCAATGCTCCTCGTGTTGGAGGCATGTTTTCTATCAGTGAATGTTTTCCAGAAGCTATCGTATCGAAGATGCCTGGGTTCGTCACACGCTGCTCCAACCTCCTTATAACCAATTTCTCAGCTCACAGAAGTGGTTATTTTTCTTTGCTTCAAAATAGCATCATCCCATTCCTCCGGAAATACTCCTCGAAATGATCCGTCAAGCTGCTTCAACCACCGATACTCCACACCTTTGTAGAGTTTGATTCCACCATGCTGATACCCAAACTCGTTCTTCGAAACCGGTGTAATCCTCGCCGAATCAAACGTTCGAATAACATTGAATGACTGATATTTGGTTCCAAGATTTTCGCTTTCAATTTCAACACATCCACTTTCGACCCGTGCAATGGCACTTTCGGGATTACAGTCTTGCGAGGAATAAAAAACAACCACTGTGTTATCATCCGATGTGCCAGTATTCATGACGAATACCGAATTGGCTGTTTTAGAGAAGCGTGCCTGACATCCTCTATTTGTTGATCCGCTCCATGAACGCAGAGTTTCTTTACTGGCGCATCTAGACTCGGCATTGAATTGTATCCAATAAGCGGATGCGGATGCCATAAGAGAAAGTAACACAGGAATATAAATTTGATACAACATGCTGGTTAACCTTGCCAACCGTAAAGAACGATGAAAACATGAAAAACAACATATGGTTCTTCGTGTTCGTCCCGGCCTCTATTATGAAGAATGAACCTGCGTTAATAAGCTGCACTGCGCGGTGCCAAGGTCAGCAAATGGGTGAGGCTTATGGTCAGCACTATTTCTGTTCTATACGCGCGTGGTTAATCTTCGTTATTACCTATATATTGAATGAGTAACATGAAATTACGTTTCTATAATATCGTGGGAGACACAACATAATCTGGGGTCAGCACCTCTTCCTTTTGGAGAGATGGTCCATTGTGAATAGTCATCAATTGCATAAGTGGCATGATGATATATTTTCGTGAAACATGAAGTTCATGAAGAAAATTAGAATTGGTGATGTTAATCCTTGTCCTTGTAGATGGCTGGAATCCTACAGGATGAGAGTGGAGGTGGCTGCGGGTTGGGGCTTGGCGCATGATATCACGGGTTGAAGTACCTCCCGGTGAGCCATATTTTTGAATATGTTGGGCTTGCGATCTAAAAATATTTGCTGCGACGAAGATGACCATAAAATAAGTGGTAAAATTTTGCCAACGAATATCTCCATCACAATTCAACATTTAAAGGCTGTTAAGTACAACGTAACGATGTCAGGCTAGATTCCTTCAATATTTATCGATATTTTCGAGGTAGTCTCGAGAAAGACCTGAAGATATTGCTTTACTAGTACGCCCTCAAGAACTATCGCTTTTGACTCAGAATTTCAGTGCGAACTACGTCAGTTACTCTGTCAATTATTGTGTCATTCACTTTGGAACGAAACAGTAGGATGACTCTAATCTGTCAACCTCAACGCTCTTGTTATTGAGAGCTTATTTTGAACCACTTATCATGCTCCTCCCCCTCACCAAATTTACAATACAACAGAGTGTCAACCCCATCCAACCATCTCATCAATTATTCTTCCCAAGAAAAGACAACTAGGTCTTTGAGTTAACAACATGAGAGGTCGGATTCTCGATAACAAGCTCCACTGCCGATCTATAGGTGATTCGTAGTCGGCAAGGTCAAAACCTCCTTTCTTTTCGCCAATCTCTTCATCAATGGCTTCCATGCAGTATAGTAGACCGAAACAGAGCCAAGCACAAGTACCAATAGTGCCAGCACGACTATAATGAATCGTTTCATCTTACAGTTGTTATGTTAGTATTGTCTTGGATTTTGACTTTTATTTATGAGAGGGCATGCTTGAAATTTATAGCGCGATGCTAAATTGTTGATATCAGGTCTGATTTAATTGGCTTTGAAGTGATTACAGAGGTAGATATTGTTGATGAGATTGGCTCAAGAAAGGTCTTAACGTCGTAATGAGCGGAGAGACTTGAGATTTGCAGCGAACAATGTCTAGATGCCTTGGCATTGAACTCTGGTAACTGTGGAATCCAATGTCTGTCGTAGTGAGCAAGAAGAGCTGGAAGAATTGTAAAGAATTCCATGTTGATCTTCGAGCTCAAGAATGTTGATCAGACAGCGAGGAAAGTCGGGGTAAGTATTGATGAGTACCGCAAGTTCTATATGTAGTGTCTACGTGAACTCCAGGATTAGAACTTTAGGTGATTTAAAGAATCTGGAGTAAAAGGTAATATTCTATTGTTAGCTTTTCTATGACTTCTTGTTGAGTCAAAGGAAATTCTACATCGGAACAAATTCTGTCATCCATTACTTGTGACTCGGGACTCACCACTATGGCTCGACCCAATTCACTCAAATTTTAATCAAGATGGACAGTGACCTCGAGACCTGGCAGTTCAATTTAGCATATCGATCTTCGCTCATATATTTCTTGCAAAAGATCTGTTATAGCACGAATAAACACAAAATGATTTTAACTTGCTAAGTTCAACGCTCTTAGTATGCAGATAACTCTTCAACTGCAGATGATGGCCCCCCTCCAATACTGGTATCAAAAGTACAAAAGCCTAGTAATTTGCCATCTGCATCCATCCACTCTTAATAATACCTCTCAGAATACAAAAACACCCGGACTTTTGTAATTGACGATAACTAGATTTAAAGGAACAAGTGATTCGTGCTCGACAATGTCTAACTTTACTCTTCTCTCGCACAATGAAAGCCAGGAACAAAAAAGACATCCAGCTCTCTCAATATTCATCCCCTCATCCCTAGATCATCCCCAACCATCCCTCCATCCTGGTGAACCCGCCGGCTCTCACACCTTCTAATCATCAAAAAATCCCTACGAAGCAAAAGAAGGCGACGTATACACAATCCTCGGAACTTGCTCTTGAGCCATCCGCACTTTTTCACCCTCTTGCTTTTTCTTAATCTGTCTCCAAACTTCAAAAGCGCCGACACATAGGCCCATCACTGCAAGTGATGATAGAGCAACGATGGATACCGTCCCAAAAGGCATTGTTGATTGGTTGTTAAAGCGATGTTTTGCTAATTTGAATGTTAGAAGATCTATGAGGTTGAGAATATGTGATGGTTATCATAGGAAAAGGATGGTATACTTGGGGAATAATGTGCAATGTATGATTCTAGTACCAGAGATAGAGATAAATGCGACTACGCTGCGAAGCGAAGTTCGGATACT